CATTCTTTGCCTTTTTAATTTTTCTTGTCTTGTTGTTTTTTACCAGAAATATCTTATCAGTCAGTAATCATCAATATGATAAAATAACAAACTTCATTTGCACTAAAATTTTCCGTCTTTTTTTTCTCAAATTCATTCCTTCGTTCGGCGATCTCATTGTTGACAGTCTTTTCTTTCATTGTTTGAGCATTTTGATAGTTCAATCGTTCTTCCAATTCCAATTTTGTTTGCATTAAATTTTGATAATTTTGCTTTAATTGGGAATATTTCATAAATGATTCATTCAATTTCTTCTCCATCTCAAGCACACGTTGATCATTGATCGTTTCTCCATACTTTCCCTCTTCTATTGCTAATTGTTCAATTGTCAATGAACTATAATTAATGAATGATATTAACATTAATAATTTCACGTGGTTTACGTTGCCATCATCGTGTCTTTCGTAATTGTAATCTTCTTTTTCATTTTCATAAATATGACATTGAACCTTTTATTTCTTAAAATGTAATGAGTTATCACAAATTTGTTTATCGGCTTCCTAGTTTTTCTATTCTCTCTTTTCTCTTTTTTTTTTCTCTCAGATGATTGAAAAAACAAACAAATTTAATTTGATAGACTTCAAAATTAGCAATAACTAAAGGCAAACTTTTGTACAAGTTTCTCATTTGCTTCATGCAACATTTTATTCTCCTCTCGTATCATTTCCAATTCCTTTTCCAAAATTTGAATATTTTTCAACCGTTTTGCAACTTTCGTATCAGTGTTGGTATTCGATGATAAATCATTAAATTGTTGTTGCAATTTCAATCCCTCATGTTGTTTACTCTGAAGTTGCTCGAGCAATTGATCATATTCATCTTTGAGCTTTCTCAATTGCTGCAAATAAATAATAAATTAGCATAATTATATTTAAAAGTAGAAGCAAAAGAAGAAGGAGGGAAAAAGCTTAAAATATTTACATGAAATCAAAAAAAAATTGATTAAAGATTTTCCAAAAAGCTTCAGCACTTTTTGTTTTTGAATATTATTTTTAATATAAATTAAGTTAAGAATAAAAAAAACTCATCAAAAACAGAAATTAATTCATTAAAAAAATTGTTTAAAAAAGAAAATTTAGTTAATCAATTGTAACAAAATCTTCAGCTATCGTCATCGAATCAATATATGAAATGTTTAATACAAACTTGCACCAATCATTTTTTTCAAAATATGTTTAATAACAAATAAAATAAGAAAGAAAATAATATGTTGGATTTAATTGAAAAGTTTAGTGAAAAAATATTTGATAAATATTTTAATTGAAATACAAAAAGTGAAATAATTTATGGGCTTACTTGTTGGACATTATTTAATTTGCATTTTAATAAAGCACATTCATCATCTTTCTGCTTCAATTCTCTATTCAATTTGACAAAAAGCGTTTTATCCAAAAGTGACGACTTCCTTTAATTATCTTAATTAAATTAATAATTTTCCATTTGTCCTCATTCTATTTTTTTTTCTTCCACATCAATTCAGTTCATTTCTATTTGTAATTTCACATCACATAAAAAAAGCTACATTAATCTTTTTAATTAAAGTTTGCAATTTAAATGGTTAAATTAATAAAATTTAATTCGCCACTAAAAATTAATTTGTTAAAATTTGCAAATTTCTTATTGATATAACAAATGAAGTTGCACTGTGCCAACATTCTAAACCTTGCTTGCAAATTTTATTTTTAACTTACCCGTCGGAAACTTTTGGCACATCTGTTGCTGGTCTTTGTTCCATGTTGACAAATTGTGTTGAAGCATTGCTAGCAGTTTGTTGTGGCCGATTAGACCTTCGTGGTAAAGCTGATTGTGGTCGTTGTGCAGTTTGACGGGCCTAATAACATTGTAAGTTAGTACAAAAGTAAATATTATAACTATTAGCTAAAAAATAAGTTATTATTGCAGTGATATGATAGCTCTAATAAACCTGTGATGGCGTTGAGCATTGTTGTGCTGATATTTCGGGCCTGGCATAATTTAAGACTTGCTGTTTCAAATTTTTCAACTATAATTAAGAATTTTGTTTAATTAAACCATATGTCATTGATAAAAATAATTGATAATAAAAGAGCAGAAATTACATTTCAATTAAATGGCGATTAATATTTTGTTACTGTAACAAAAACACGGGCCACAATTTAGCATGTCATTGAGTTACGTAAAGGTAAGTATAACATTCAATATATTATTATTAATCAGTTGCAATTATATTTCAAATTGAAAACTATGTAAAATGCAAAAAATTAAAAAGTAAAAAGATTTAAATACTAAATTAATTGTTAGAAGTAAAAAGCATTTAGTATACTATGACAAATATTAAAATGGTTATGAAATTTAGAACAAATTTTAAGATGCAATATCTTGAACAATCAATAACCTCTTTAGAACAATGCTAATTAGTTAAACTATTATATAACACTAAATTACTAACTTACTTTATTGGTGAGTAATCGATTTTCCTTAATTAATTCAGCGTAATTTTCATCATCGTTGCAGTCCTTCCCACAAACGATTATACGCTTTATTTTTGCATTTGACCTGTTGAAAATTCTCCATATGCATATTTACGTCACACATAACACTAATTAACTAATTAATAAATTGAACTTACTGTTTCAGTTTACTTTCCAATTCATTGTAACTTCGTTTTAAGCTATAATTCTGTTGATAAAGGACATGATAACGATCTTCCAGCTCTTGCCTTGACCATTTCTCAATCGAAGGACGAATGACCATCACTTATCATATGATATCATAATCAATGAATATCACAAATTTATATTTCTTTCTTCCATAAACAATATGAAAAATAAAATATAATAAGTTTAACTTTGCACTAATTTTCCTCGCTACCAATTCTAATTTTACATATTTCAAGCTAAAAAATAAGTGAATAAAACTGATAGATAATTTTGATAAACAATATCATGAAAAGTTCCTTCTATCATATTAGCAAGCATAGCATACACAAACCATATATTAACTAATTAATTGGTTAATACCTTAAATCTATTTTCAATCATTTCATAAACTCACTTTCCTTAGCCCATAATTATAAAAGAAAAAAGATTCACACAACAATGCAAATACATTTCTACAACAAATATCAATTATTTCTAGCAATCAAAATCTCATAATTTTAAAATAAAGCTATTTACAAATTTTAATTTTGAAAAAAAAAAGCTGTTGCTGTGGAAAAAATTTCACGATGCTTTCGTTAAATGTAATCTAAAATTTTCAGTAATGAAACATTTGTTTTGAGTTAACATGAAATTTGATAGGATAGCATGCATGCAAAGGATACCATGGCAACGGACGATGAATAAGCTCTCATATTAATGATATAAACAATTATTATACATTTTAAAAATCATAATTATCATATTTTTCATATAATAAAATTTTCAGGAATGTTTTGAAAAAAAAAGAAAATAGCTATTAATTTGAACGCAAATATTTATGCAACTCAAAATAAAAAAAAAAAGAAAAACATAAATTGCTTAATTGTAATCATTATTAATTTTATTCACTTTTTATTTGCCATTTTTAGCAATTGTTGTTGTAAGAAAAAGGAAAAGAAAGAAGTTGGAAATTTATTAAATTTTCTTGTTAGTAAATTAGCTGTAATTTTTCAGGAAAGAAAATTGACTGAAAAAGATGAAGTTTTGAAAAATGAAAAGATGAAAGTTGGAGGAAGAGAAGGAAAAATTAAATTCTGTACTAAAAGTTTTAATTCAAAACTTTTGGTGCAAAATTTAATTTTTTTTTCTATTATTTTAACCCTTTTTGCATTCCACTTCTTTACAAACACATCAATTAAAGGGAAAATATGTGAACTTTGTACGATAAAAATGATTTATATAATAATAACTTAAATGAAGTTTATTTATTTCAAAACCAATAAGAATCCATTTTGTTCAACTGCTGGTCCGAAAACTTCGTTGATACTAAACATTTCAAATGTTTAAATTAGTTACATTCGTCCTGCTGTAATTATTCGATTACAATTCCTAAAGCTAAATGAATTTTATTCTATTTTTTGCTTTCAAATGAAATGATAACTTTCCCTGCATATTGGAGTCAGATTATCATAATTATCAGAAATAATTATTATGGTTATATGTCTTTTACGGAGATGAATTTGTAAATGTTTAATTAATTCAGCATATAGTTACTGAGGCCTATTTGGTCTAATAATTTATCTCACTAATCGATTAATTTTTACGATTTTATTAATTGATTAATTCAGGCATATTATTAGAGAGAAATGTCTTTAAATAAAAAAAGAAACGAATGTTAATTTAATCAATTTTCATTCTAAAAAAAAATTAAATATGTAAATTTAACTAATTTTAATGCTCACTGAAATGGTAGATATTCCCCTTACTCAATTAGCTGCTATTTGTTGGTTTTTTTTTCTTCCAAATATATATTCCATAACAAATTTTGCTTTTTTTCAAATTTCCCATCAAAATCTTGCTCAATTATGATTTCAATATTAAAATCATTTCAAACTTCAAACTTCCGCTATCACACAAATGCCCCAATTCTGACTAGTAATAAATTGAAACAATTAAATGATTTTGATGCATTGAAGACTTAAACGACACTTCATTTTCAAATTTTTGTCACAATTGAGTTATTTCTTGATAAATGACAAAGAAAATTGTAACAGTAATACTTTCATCATAACGTTACCGCAAGTGAATGTCCAACAAGTAAATTTTAATTCTGATCAATTCAATTCATCCCATGTTCATCTATGCGATAATTATCACTCTATTATACATTCTAATTTCATCCCTCTTCGGGTGTTATCGATTACTTCATTACTACTTACTTACCCTTTCATTGCTTACTTTACAGTTCATCTACTCTAATCAGAATTGATTGAGGAAAAAATTGATGAATCAATTAAATTCTTAAATAATAAATTTAGAAAATTTCAGAATTGAATAAAACTTCAAATATTTCATTTATTTGATCAGTGCGCAATCGTTTTTCTTCTTCTTCATAAATAATACATGAAAATTTTGCTACTTTTTCAAAAAACTATCATAATTAATTAATTGTAAGTCACAATATTATGTAAAATAGCATCAATCAATAAATTAATAAACAAAACAACAATCATTTATAATTGAGAAATACATCATAGCATATGCTTTTTTCTTCACTTAAAATACGCTTCCGCTTTACGTATTAGTACGATGTATAATATTTAGCATTAACAAAACAGATTGCATTAACAAACATAAATTTATATAATTTTGAAAAAAAAGAAAACAGCAAAATAATCAACACAAAATGCGTATAATTGTGATGTAAATTTCGAAATGATGAGATGACAACTAATTTATACAATTATTTGAAATACGTAAACAAACTGTAAAGCATCAAAATTATCCCTTTGCAAGCAATTTACCATTACATTATGTACAAAGGTTAAACGGCTATTGAAAAAACAAAAAAAAAATTTTTGAATTCATTTTATGTTCTCGTCCTTCTATTCTTTTCATAGTACCTTTCCATTCAGAATATTTCAACTGAAAATTTCTATTTCAAATACTGAAAAGAAAACACTGTAAATGATTTTACAAAAAAAAAAAGTACTTCATCAAATAAAACTCATTTTTGAATAATGCCTGTAAATTTTCCCTCGTAAAATAATTAACCCTGAAATATTTTGTAAATTAAAACTGCTCAAATATCTACAAAATAATATCATCTATCACTGGGTTAGAAAGAAAAAAGAAAAGAAAAGGATACATTTGCACAATAAGATCAGGCTTTTTGAATTTAATTATAATCAAACAAAATTCATGAATTTTGATTAATCCTTGGCCGCGATATTTGTAGCCACAATTTCCTACCACTTGCTTTCACTAATGCTACTGCTGAGAGCTGAAATACTCCAATTTAATGGAATCAAATTTGATTAATATGAAAGGATGTTAGGAAATTTAAATATTCCCTCGCTTTCCCTCTCTCGCTCTCTCTCTTTCTCTTTTTCTCCACATCTCACAAATAACAAAATAAATTATTCCAAAAAAAAAAATATCGTCTTTTAAAGGTATGAATTGTGCAATTCAAAACTATTATATAACTTTGAAATTTCTTCAAAAAAAAAAATCTACAAAGCGATAATTCATTTTAAAATTAAAAATTTTTAATTAAATAGAAACTGATTAAAAAATTATAGGACAGTTTTTTCATATGCAAACCTGATCAGTCACTTCCACTCCGTTAACTGCCATTAAACGGTCGCCAACTTTCAATTTTTCAGCTGCTACACTGCCGGGTTGTAGTGAAGTGACCAAAATACCACGTGTGCGTTTACCGATTCCCATACCCAATTGCTGATCCGGAATTTTCTTGAGCACAACGAGCAATGAATCGCTATTTTCCTCATTCAAATCTTTGATAAGTTCAATTTCCTTATTCTGACCCGAACTGATCACTGATGAACTTTCCTCATCAGCAATGGATGATTTCTTGAAATGAACGAAATATTTCATTTCAGAGAAGCGCAATACAATAGCAAACTTATAAGTAATTAAAAAATAAATAATGGCTAAATAAATGACTGATAAATTAGTGTTTGGAATTTCAAAATGTGTAATTAACCTGATCCGCTCCACTACTCGATTCTTCCGTTACCGGTGACAGATCTCCATATATAATTTGTGATGATTGATTTTCCTCATTTGTGGATGTTTGAGATTTTGAAATGGTTGTCAATGTTGATAGAAGTGTTGTTTTCCGATCATTTGATGTTAACGAAATCGAACTAATTTCTGAAATTTAAAACTGTTTAAAAATTTTTTAAGAGATCCTAAAAAAATGCCTGCACATTTAATGCTATATAGCATGGATAAAATTTAATTTTGAATCTTCAGAATTTGATAGATTTCCAGATTTGATATCTTTTAGGAATAATTTTTTTTTCTTTTGCAAAAACTACTGACCATTATTTGGTGCAAATAATTTAATTTCAGGTGTTATTTTAGTTAATTTCGATTGTTGTGTGAGATCATCAGAATGTCGTTCACTATTAGATAAGGCAGCTTCTGCTGCTGCATGCACTTTATTAGCTGCTTCGGTCAATTTCCAACGGCCAACTTTTAGGGTGACACGGCCAGTACATGCCTAAAATGATTTTGAGTAAAGATTTGCATTTATTCCTTCTTGACAGAATTGTTTAAGAGAATTGTTGCTGAAGCAGATGTTAATTTACTCCTAAATTTCAATGAGTAATTTTGATATGTACTTTTAATTTAGCTGCTACATCTTCTTGCATTGAACTTGCCACATCTTGGCCATTAACGGCTAGTATCTAAAAAAAATGATTGGTAAAATTTTAAACGATTCATATGATTTTGTGCTAACAAATATATCATCATGAAATATTCGTGAATGAAAAGTTACGAAAATTAATCAATTTTAGAGCAAAAGTTGAAAAAAATCATTTCAAAAAATGTTACATGAAATTTTCGCCTATTTGAAATTTTTTTTTTTGCGATAAAAATTGATTGATTTTTTGGTGAATGAAATTGATAAGATAACCTGATCGCCTTGAATTAGACGGCCATCAGCTTCAGCAGCACCACCTTTGACCACTTCTGAAACATAAACACCAGGCTCATTTTTTCTGCCCACTATACTCAGTCCAAGTCCTCGTCCTGGCTTCTTGGTAAGTTCCATTTCGAAAATATTGTAAATTTGTGTTGGATCCAAAAGTGATAGTTGCAGGTTCACATCACGATATACCAGTAAAGAAACCTTAACTTGCAAAATGATTAAAAATCAAATTCAAATAGTTCTCAATTACTTTTTCATTTTTAAATAAATTATTCTTTCAAAGAACTTCTATACTCTATCGTTCGGTAGCACTTTTAAAAATTTTGAAAATTTTCACTATGTATTTTATTAAAGTTATCAAAAGTCTAAGTTTTCAAATAGAAACAAAACGTAGTAATTTAGAGATTAGATTTTATGTTTTAAACTTCATTCATATTCTTGCAAATGCAAAATTCAGCAATCAACATTGAACACGTTGAACTTTGACCAGCTATATACAATATATTTACATTTTTTCGATTTTTTTTTGTCATTTTTAATTTTTATTATGTAAAGAGAGAAGTCAGAAAAAGAATGATAAACATACTTTAGCTGGTGTCCTTCTAAGCAGTAAAATAGCTTGTTCATGACTAACGCCACGTAACGATATACCATTTACCTAAATTTAGTAGCAAAATAAATTCAATACTTCTACGAATAATTAATCTTCGTAGACATATTCAATTCAGAAGTTCAAATTTAATCTTTGAACTGATAAATTGTCATCGCAGATTGTATTTATATATATTCATATATATGTATTTATACATTGTATTCATTACAAACAAATGTTCAGATAATATACTCATTTTGTTTTAAGGATAAAATTTCTCTTTCAATAATCCTACCTATCATTAGATATTAAATTAATTTAAATATTAAAATTAAAAAAAATTCAAATACCTCAAGAACTTGATCACCGGGTTTCAATCGTCCATCAATTGCTGCAGCACCATCCGGATATACTTCATGAATTACCACTGTGCCCAATACCGTATCAGAACCACCAACAATACTCAATCCCAAACCCTAAATTTTAAACTACTTACAAAACTTTCCATCCAAATAAATATTTTGCAACTCTTATTTAAAACTTCAATAAATAATCAATCAACTTCAGGTACAATGAAATGCCAACTGGAATATACAGTTGAGCTGGAAAAAATTTTTGACAGTTGAAAAAGTAAAAAAAAAGAAGACTTTGTAATTTACACACTTTTAATTCTTTTAAATGCACTTTTTTTTAAGCTAAACTAAACTAAGAAAAGCCATATCTCATCATTGGCGTTTAAACCAATTTTTATCAGTTTCATAATTACTATCACTTCTAAATCACTGACAATTTCACGTAACAATATGACTCTCAAACTATACTTTTCCATCTTTATCAATTTCAATCAGCGTTTCACGTCCAGTTTCAATACCAACAGCTGATTCATTCTGTCGCGATAATTTTTTCTTCAAATCTATAAAAAAAAGATAACCACTTCTTAACCAAAAGAATATTTCTGCATGTTGAATTTTTAAAAAAAAATAAAATAAAATATGCAAAAAAATTGCTACAACAAAGAGATTAATAACAAAAATTTTTTAGTTTCAAAGCTTAAAATACATTATATGTTAAAAATAAAGAAAAAAAATAAATGAATTTTCTTCAAAAGGGCGTAATAATCGAAATGGAAATGTGATCAATTAGCGATATGAAAGAATTGAAAAAAGTAATCAATAAACATTTACAAATTTCTGACAGCATTTTATGTTACTTTCAATAAATTAAAAAAGAATGAAAAACTTCGACAATTTGAAAAATTAAAATTACCTTCAGTGGAATGTTGTACATTCGTATCGCTGCTGCTACTCATTGGTAATTCGTTTCGAACCGTACTGCTTCCATCTAATTTTTTTGAATCCAAAGTAATTGCCTATAAATAATTCATTTTTTTCATTCTGCCAATATTTTTCATTGTTCACTCACTGATTAGCCAAAATATTCGTTTTTTAAAAATTAAATCAAATTTTCTTAAAAATAAACAAGAGAAAATCATTGTTATAAAATCGATATAAATATTTTCATAATAATACATAATGATATAACAATTGAAATTTTATAGTCATTTTATACTTGTCATTGCAATTGATAAACTCAATTATATACTCAGTCCAAGCATGCTATCACTGTCCTTATCATCCTATTTATGAATGATATTAATTGCAATGAAAGCATTTGTATATTTATACAATAATTCACCCCATTTTAATCAACAAAAAAAATTTTACAAAAAAAAATGGAGAGAAGAAATCCAATACTTTATTAGACTGTCAAAAAAAAATTAAGTAAAAAAATAAGCTCGGACAGCAGTTATTAATAGATGTGTGATTTTTAAAAAAGAATTATTCGAGAATCCTTGAGTTAATCACTGGAAAGCATTCCCTTTTAATAATTAAAAATGATAACATTTCAAAGAACGACTTAGCAAGCAAATCAATCATTTAATCATAAAAATTGATCAGAAAAAATTTGTTCGATAAAAAACAGAAAGTATTACATGGAATGAATTGAAATATAATTTATGGATGGATAATAGGTTTTTTTTTTGCTCATCAGAAATCAAAAAATTTTGATAAAATCCTTAAGTTTTAAAAAAATAAATTAATCATTTTTAATGATGAAACAAAATGATTTATGATGCTGTTGATATAATTAATAGCACCTCATATTAATGTAAATTTGGATGGAAACATATGAAAATTTATTGCTTATATTTATTGCAAATACAATACTAATATAATTAAAAATTATTTTCGTCAAATTTTTGATATTTCAAAAAGTTTAGAAATCATTGGAACTAAATTGGAACTTTTACTTACGCAGAATTTTTTTTTTAACAAATTATCGATTATCTCACTTCAAACATATGCTAACAAATGATTGCGTCGTTTTGTTTCGTTTCTTTCTCCTCTATTTTGAAATTTCATTTTACTACAAATAAGAACAAGTAGCAACTAATAGCAATATCGATTACACATATTTAAGCAAACATTCATTCAAAATAAGCCCCATTTTGTTATGAAGAATGGCTGAAAATATGTAATAATAAAATAACATATAGTTTAAAATCTTAATCTCAACCTTCAAAAATCAATCCAACAATTTGTGAGAGCATTTTTCTGCTAACGTATTATTTATTGGCTTAAACTTATAAATTTTGACTAATCGGTTCAATATTGAATCCTCAGAAGCAGCAAAAGAAAAAAAAAACAAGAAAAACAAAACTCTCATTTTCTTCCCAAACAATTTTCCGTCATATCATTTTGTCCCTCTCTCTCTCTCTCTCCCTCTCTCTCTCTCTTTGCTTCTTTTTGCTATTCAGTTGAGACGAAAAAAATGTACTGAAAATATGAATATTATAAATTTCATTAGCAAATAAACGGTACTTTTTTCAAACAATAAAAAGATTACTTAATGAGATTTTGTGGAACGATGAAAGTCTCTTATCAAACCATTTTTTTTATTTTTATATTTTTTTTTTTGATTTTATTAAAGGAATTTGAGATTATTCCACTATCTTCTCTTTTTTTTCCAATATTAAATGATTCTTTGAGAGTTAAAAAATTTTTTTTTTCAAGAATTATTCAAATATTAATGAATATAATTTATCTCATTCATTTATTACCGATTCGAATTAATGTTAGGTAAATGATAACAAATAATATATTAAAAAGATTTTTGCACTTTAAATATTCATTTAAGACAAAAAATATTTTTTAAAAAGAAAGAAAACGATACTACCACATCGAATAGTGGCATAACATCTAAAAAGATACAATCCCAAAAGAAAAATATCATTAATAATTATTTGAAATAATTATTATATTTTTAAAAGTGATAATGATAATGCTAAAATGCAAACGACAGCGGTAAAAATGATAGTGTTAAAGATTAATTAATATGATAAGCTAGCTCTATAATGCCAATAATCAAAATATATTTATCGCATAAAATCAAAAGATATTAACACTTCGAAATATAATTAAAGAGATCTATGGAGAAGAAAAAAGGCAAAATTGGAAGAGAGAAAAAAACTCTGAAACTAGACTAAAATTTTAATGATCTTTTAGCCTTAAGGGAAGATTTATGAAAGTGACAAGCTCTATAATGTCTTCAAAATAACTTAAAATGCAAAAAAAAATCCTGATAATAATTGTCTATCATTGAGAAAGTTCGGCCTTAACGATAATACATTCAAATTTCCAAGGATAAAAACAGCAGAAAGGTATCTTTGCTCTCTCTTTAACTACTTTGACATCATTCATTCCACTTTCTTTGGCAGTTATTCTCGATGGAAAATAAGATAGAACTTTATGGGGAATAAGGCCATAGTTTAAATTGATTTTGCCTTAGAATAAAGACGAAGAGAGAGAGAGAGAGAGAGANAGAGAGAGAGAGAGAGAGAGATGAGTGAGAGAGTGAGCGAAAGAGAGGAGGAAAGGGAAGAAAAAAATATGAAAGAATGACAACAATGCTTAAGGCTTGACTTAAACTGACCCTAAATAAAAGTAGCCATAGAAGATTATTTAAATAATTTACTTGTTTATTTACTTTTCATCCAAATAACACTTCATGTAAATACAAACAGTTTTACTAATTGAACCGAATTTATGCGGTAAACATGAAGTTAAGTGATGATTGAATTCAATCATCCATATTCAATATATGCCAAATATTGAATGTTTCAGGCTAATGCAACATGCGCTTTATATCGAATATTTCAGGCTTGACATAGCACAAGCATAATTGAAGCTATTTCAAACGCGATAAATAAAACACTGTTTCATTTCTTTTTTTTTTTCAACGTCAATAAACAGCAATTCATCAACTTGCACATCTTCAGCAGACTTGCTACCAATGTTATAAGAATTAATGATTGTATTTTGTTAATTTAAAAAGCAAATGCTATGTTAAATACTAAGCTAAGCAAATATTGTAAGTGAAATTAATCCTATCCTGAGTGAGTATATGTATATATAGAATTCTATTTATTTGATTTTATATGTATTAAAATTAGAAATTGAATTTTGCATAATCTGATATTTAATATGTTTAAATAAAGAAAAAAATAAAACTAGATGCACATAATTCTGCATAGCTTAATTAGAAATTTTTCGAGCTATAAAAAATGGCATAACTTTAAAAATACATGTAATTTTGTACAAAAAACTAAAAATTAGCAATGGAAAATTTGTAATAATTTAATTTGGCTTCAATTTTATTGCCGCCAATTGATGCTACATGAATTTATGAGGTTATGCAATTTTTCTAAACATATTAGTAAGGATAAGAATTTGAGGAAAAAACGCTTATCAATGACAAGCTATAATTGCAAATTGAAAAAAGGGAGCATTAAGGAAAAAAAGATTTGAAATTATTGAATTGATAATTAGTAAGCAGATTGCACGAACAACAAGCGTATCAGCATTGTGCGCAAATCTGTAATTTAGAATTATTAATGGCTATTCAATATGATTTTTTTAAAACTTCGCTGAAATATTCCGTTAGCATCAAAGTTAAACAACAATACTCAAAAGTGAAGCGTAATGTGGGACTGCAAATAATCGCCTGTCCAGCAGATATTGAAATAAAATGTGAGAAAGAAAAAACTTTGATTACTTTCAAAGTTATAGAGTTTAATTTTATTTTAGATTTTCTTTAATATTTTCAAGTGTAAAAGAACAATCAAATTTGGAAGAAATTTCAGATACAATTTTTAATTTAAAAAATATTGTTTCCGATCGATCACTTCTTCCAATTTTCAATTTTTTTTACAAAGACAAATAATGGAAAAATTAATGAATTTGAATAGAATATAAAAAGAAATGATGAAATTTAGCAGAAAATCCTAATGCATCATGAAATTTTAGGTAGCCGAACAATCATTCCTACATAAAATTGAATGAAATCAAGAGTGCTTCATCGAATAACTTCTTATTTTACAAAATTTTGCAAGGAGAAAAAAGAGTAACTATCATTAAAATTGGAAATTAAATGCTTAAGCAATTATCATTGTATGTTACAAAATTTTAATTTAAAAAAATATTTAAAGAATAAATCTGAATATTCCTTTTTCTTTTTT